AAGTAAATTCCAGTGCATCTCAACACAGAAAGGTCTTTTCTCTCATTTCAGAGATCCAACCGACTTTCTCCCAGTACTTTCCCTTCCAAACCAATAGACAGTATACGGTGGTCTACCACTCACATTTTTTTGGAGAAGAGTCATCATCTTATTATCACCTAATAAGAATTTGAGCCAAAAATGAACTTGAAGGCAACCCTTAAATCCAACTCCCCATAGCTTTTTTCTTTGCCGGTAGCCTTTGGCATGTGTTTGGCAACATTTAGCACAGTATATGTTTCAGCACACTTTAAATAGGTCACAGATGGGCAGAAGGGCAGAACATTAATTCTATATCCTCCACAAATTAGAGAGGATCCTCCTGCACTGAAGACTGTCTCTCTGTCTCTGCCCAGATCTTCACTAAAATAGACCTTCACTACAAAACTGCTGACCTATTTCCATAATGCAGGTTTTGACTTTCCAGTAAAGAAATGCACACTCCTCTAGATATTGTTGTTTACCCATTACTACTGACAACACACACAAATTACAAGCAAGCGTAGTTTTACAAAAAATAGGCCTGCATTCATGGCAGTGTTTTCGAAGGGTGCATTATAACTGTTTGCAAAGATAATGTCATGCTCTTTTATTCATCTGTATACAATAATGAAAGCTTGGCTGTACAATTCAATGTAATCCTGCTGTTATTCTCTTCATTGCTGTATCCTCGGAGGACCGAAATCAGCGGCGGAATCTCCTGAGAGCAAATGTGAGATGATACGTTTTCATTTAGAAAGCCAAATGTCATCATTGTGCCTCTGTCCCTTTTGCTTTTCGAGCAACTGGTTGATGTGGTGAGCTGGCAGAGCAAGTAAGAACATGGGAGGGAGGCATTTATCATCCTCAAGACTACAGAGCAGTAACTCTGCCTGCTTGGAAATCCTGTGGACAGCCAGTGGAAAAAAGAAAAGAAAGAGTAGTCAATGGTGATTGCATTACAGGGATGACATCGTCCCACTGCTTTGGTGTTTTAGTTTTGGGTGGTAAAATTGTGATTGCATCACTTACAAATTTAGCCAAATTAAAATATTGATGTTGTTATCCTGTTCATGTCATAGGCCAGTTAGCCTGTATCATTTTCTATACACTTGCTCTGTTTCTATTTTCTCCTGTTCATCAAATGTGCATCAAATTCTCTCATACAAAGTAAACCCAGCTGGCAGCTGTGATCCATTGCTTCATTCTTGACTTCATTTCTCAAAAGATTATATCCTGCACGTCAAAGGCCGTGACGAGCACATGTTTCAGCATTGTACATGTTTCCATGGCAAGTCAATTCATTTGAAATTTCAGTGGCAAGAACTACTGACACCCGGCCTTTCTTTTCAGAATTGGACATTTTGCCAACTTGCCACTCTCTTTTTTAAAAGGTTTCTCGTGTTTCTTTCTTTGTTTTTTCCAAGACCTGTCTGGCCTGCCATGTCGCCATGTCCTGAGATGCTCTCTTGTTGACTTTGAGACATGCAAAGGCAGAGAGGTGAGTGAGTGAGTGAGTGACTACCGGACAGTCTGGGGTAGTTTCCCTACTCAACACAAGAAAAACATGACGCAAAGTGTCCAACACATAAACTGAACGTTGGTCTTTAAAGAACACTTATACCTTCCAGTACACATGGCAGACATTGATGAATTGTTGCAGTTGAAAATAGGAGCGCCTGTTCTTGCTTTTTTTTTTAAAACCTCTGTCACCATTTCGCTGCTGCTTGGATTCTTAATACTGCTTAATATCACATCCATTAGGATCAAGGAGGCCAAAACTCCTATCCCTCTCTCCAAGTATCTGTTTGAGCTTGTGGCATTTGAGAATCCTTTCAAGTTTAAGTTGCAGAGGTAACACTCAGTGGAGGCACTGGACGTTGTTTGAGTCTGGGCTTCTGCACACTTGTGTGTGTCAGTATACTCCATTGAGTCTGGCATAATATAGTGCAAAAAGTCTCCTTTTGTCTCATTTACCCACAAACAGGGTTGCTTTTCAGTAATATTTCAAACAAGGTTGAATTAAAAAGCTACGCTCTATTGGGTTCAACGCAAAGTCCAAATATACATCTGTTACATCCAGCACCAGACAACAAAAAGTTGGCAAACTATTTTATAGTAACTATAAAATATTTTATTGTAAAAAAAACAAAAGTAATAAAACAATGGCTCACTGGGAAGCATTTGACCAATGTTGAAAATGCATAATAACTTAATCCCAATGGTAGTTCAATGTGGCTTCAACAGCATGTTGCCACGGTGCACCCATCTCAAAGTACACACACTAAAAATGAAAGAAATATTATGTTTTTTAGCTCTGTATCAATAGGAAACAACCATCTAAAACCAGCCCACCTGCTGCCCCTTCAACACAGAGGGTCTGCAGAAGACGCAGTTGGGGGTATCACTTGCTTTCCTGATTGATGACCATAGGTCCCGCAGGAAGTAACCCCACCACCATGAAGGAGTGTTTTCTGAACCCCAAGTGGTATCCGGGAAAACAGAAGGACTCCAGTTAGGGAGCGTGTGTACTCATAGGCCGTCTTAATGTTTGGATGTACGCAGTCGCTTGGAATTTTGCTGGAAACAGGGGAAAGTAATCAGTGACTGCAAAATAGAGCTCAAAGGGCACCCGAATTCCTGTATGTATCCTAAAACTGATCATTATGACATGTCATGACAGTGCTTTGTCTTTTGTTTGTACGATCATAGCAGCCTGTGAATGAGTTACTTCCTAATTTCTGGTATTCGTTTTTCAGAGCTGTTCCATATCAATCAAAACTCAAAAGTTACTGCTGACCTAAGAGAGGTTGATTATCGCTGAACATTTAACGTCATGCTTGCATTTGGACATGCAGATAAAATCCATCATCTTTACATTTTAGGACGAAATTAGGAATAACTTTTTAAAGGCCAACATGTTCAAAAAGCACATTGTTAGTTATTTCTGGAAATAATCCATCAATTAAAAGAATACCTTGTTTTTATGATTAATATTATATTTTCTCTGTGGTGGTTCAGCTTGAGTTTCCAACTGTCTCCTAAAGAATCCAATAACTCTCTAACTTGATCTTCCCGGTTACTTTCATTGTTAGGTGGCTTCAGTTTTACTCATTCATTTCAACATCATCAGTCAGTCAATTGGCACATTTAGCTTTTAGTGTTGAAAACCTTGAAGCTGATGAGGTTGAACGGGTTTATCCTTGTTCACAGTAAACGGATACAATCAATAATCTAATTGAATGAGCTCAGTGGAAACCCACTCAAAGGATTTCTTGGTCTTCATGAAAGGTCAACGGCCGATGCTTTTGGAATTATAAAACGTTGTTTATTAGGACTACATCGTTAATTGATGAAGATCCACTTAGGAACACTGTTTAATGTATCATTGTGTCTTTCATATGCAAAACATGTCGTCATTGTAATTTCTTTGTAAATTCCTGCTTGCATTCACACTGAAGGTCCAGTTAAAAACCACAGAAATGCTCAATCAACCAAACAATACTGGTTCCTCACCAAATCAACCGGTTGCACATATTAACCCCTGCATGACCTCACCATCCTGCATCAAGTCCCAATATGGTGACGTGGACCAGCACCGAAAGTTCATTCACATACGTCAATTTAAGTGGTAAGAGTTGAAAGCTGTCCAACTTATAAACTACTGTAAAATATTAAAATGTAATAAATATATGATGTGTATATTTTTTTCTTAGTACTCCAAGGTCATTTTGGTTCACATTTAGGGTAGAAAAAAACCCTAAAACATGAACTTTAAATTCACGACAGACTAGACTTAGCCCTATGTATTTTAAAATGTGTGTTGCTTATACTATTACAAGTAAAGGTATTTGTTGTGAGTACTAATAACAAAATGAGAAACTTCACAACATTCACAAATTGAACTATTCAGTCTATATAAAAACGTTTTTGTTTTCTTTTAGATTTTAGCCAAGAGGTTAACCTGCTAACTAACCCCATCACAATATGGCCCCTTTGGAATGCAAGGTTTTTCAAAATGACAAAAAAAGAAAAAAATACTGATGATATAATGCCATATATACTAAAACCTCTCTGGATCACACAAAACTGTGAATTACTATTTATGGTAGTAATTATTTTACTAAAGCATCGTTTAATAGATTATATGTACTACCATAAAAAGCGAATATCATAAATATTTTAAACATAAAGGCATGGTCGCATTCAGTGACGAGTAGTCTATTAAAAGCTGTGCGGAGGCTTTTCGGTAACGCAAACAGGCCACAGCAATGAACCTATTAGAGACGGAGCAGAGCCTAGAGGCCTGTACGGACACTGTGGCCCAATTCTCCTCTTTTGTATACTGGAAAAACATATTCAAGGCTGCATGTGGGTGGATTTTGACTGACACCGGTCAAAAACGTGCATAAGCAGGTGGTCTCCGATTTCCATCGTGGCAGGCATCATATCAGAGAGATAGCATCAGCAGAGGCGCCCGGTCTGCAGAGGAGTTACACCTGAGTCACGAAATGACTTCTTCCCATGGTGCAACGACCCAATTCAATTCCCGTGCCGACGGATGGATGACACGTTTTGCAGCAAGTTTGGTTATTCGCATATTATATGATTGATCAAAAATATATTTCATGCCATTTATAGGCGCAGAGGAAACTAAATGTCACTCTCGAGATCGTACTTTCATTCAGAGAAAGTAATCTTTCGTTCACCTCCAGTTGGAAAAACTGCGATGAAATAAATAGGTGGTGAAAAACATTTAAGACATTACCAAAAAATCCCTTTTGGGAGTTACAGAAACTTTAAGCTAAAATGTTTAGGGCAACTTCAGTTTCCTCTTTTGTCTATAAACTGATATAATCAACACTGCACATCCATGACTCATATGCCGTCAGATGAACCAAACAATACATTCATGGATCCACGCCGAAAACAATATCAACTACCACAACACATGGCATTTAAGAAAGCCTTTATTTGTTGAATATTTACAATGGAATTATAAAAATATATAATTAAAGCTTTGGCAAATATTTTACATTTAGACAATTTATCTCTTTGCTCACATGGTTGAGTCAGTGTGGAACTCGATATCATGGCCACAAATTAAGATAATATAATATATGGCGGATTACAGAATAGCCCTTGGGTTTTTATAATAAAACTTCAATGACAGTGACAACATTTTTTTTTTCAATCCTGCAGTCTCCATAAGAGAATACAGTCTCACAACATTTCAATTGAGAAAATATTAGAGGGGTAACACCGATACATCCATGAAAGCTTACATTCATTTGGCCACTTAGGCCGATAAAGCTACTGTATTCATATTGCATGTGAATGGGCCTGTGTGTATGACTGTGAGCTGCAAACACTCGGGAAACAAGCCGTTAGTGTTCAGACTTACTGTTGGAGTCGTAGAAATGAGTTCAGTTAATTTGGGTCTGGTAATTAAGGTGGTATAAGTCCTGGTTATGATGATGAGGTAGGGAGATTGAGTCCATGCACACTGTTCAAGTCTTCATGTTGCAGCTGCTGCTGCTGCTTGCTCAGGGGATTGGGCGGTTTTCTGTCTCCTGCACAAATAAGAAATTCAAGTTATTATTTACCCCGCGAGATATACGCATTAAACGGGAATTATTTCACGTACAAGTTAGTTTCTAATCAGCTCAAATATACTCTAAAGCGATATTCAGAAACGCATAATTAGGAAGCAGTATCTCTTCTTTTTTTTTGTGTGCGTGTTAAATGTTATCGGCCCACCTGCAGGCCAAGTCTGGAAGGTCAATATTTAATAATTGACATATAATTATGCTTCATTTGGGATTTGGTAAATGTTTACACTTGTTTGGGTCATTGCTTATTGCGAAAGTGAGTGTGCACGAGAAAGGCAGTGGGGAGGCCCATGGAATTTACGCTCCTCTGCGGATATAAAGAAACTCTAATAATATATTTAAAATCAAACAATATAATATCCACATTGCACAGTAAAACCTCTGCTCTAATTTAAAGCAACTGCATCCCAGAGTTGTTTTTATTTTTTAAATTTGTTAGTATTAGACACATCTGTCCCCGGTTTTCATATTAAACTGTGCTACCCC